ATTTGTCTGACATCACCGAGAAAGTCCTCTAAGGACGAGCCATCTTGTATTTGATGAGATGCAAAAGAGGATTTTTGCTTATTAAAGCTGTTGTGAACAGCTGATGGTGGGCAGTTTCATGCTCCAAGTGTCTTTTCTCGTGATGCAGTCTGGAGGAACTGGCTTACAGTGTACACAAGCACTCGCCTCCATCAATCATGTAACACAGTCCACACATAGCACTAGAGATTTGCATGGGCCTGCAATATGGCAGTGACTGATAAGGAACATCTCCTGCATGAAATGATTACCAGAAGACAACTGCCAATCAAACCAGGGTCACTTTACCCAGAGGGACAGCACAAAATTTATGGAAGGTTGGTGATGCAGGCTGAAGCTGCCCCCGCCAAAACTCACTGAAAAATCAATAAAAAAATATTGTTCACATTTTAGATTTGCCCATAATGGAATTCATTTAAACATCATTACTGGCCCATGCTGACAGCTTCAAAATTGAATTTTTCTTGTGCTTGATGGAGTGAATAAATCTGCTCCTGCTAGGTAGTTGTTGCTTTCCAAAGCTTATAACTCACATTCTCACAGCGATGTAGTGTCAAAGCATTTTTTTTTTTTTTTTTTTTTTTTTTTTTGGCAGAGAGGATTGAAGAAGATGAGACATATAGTCTGTGGAGAGGTTTTGCACTGTTCTGATAAGATTTGTAAAGTCATCTTCATTCAAAAAGGATTTCTTACTGACCACCAGAGGCTGTCTGAATCTTACTCCAAGCTTTGCAAATGTCTGCAACACCGGGTTCATGCACTACAGGGTACAGAAGTGACTGGGATAGGTGGAAAGTCCCTTAGCAAGCTTGTAGGGGCAAAGGGCAGCCTAGCTCCCTTTCTTACTGACCGGCTAGAAACATCTGTTACAACATGGGGTGGAGATGTTTTGCTTTAGCAGATTTAGTAAAAATAATGTAATAATCCACCTCATCCTTGTCTAGGAAGGCTCTCAGCCTACTTGGAAATTAAGGAACTATTTCCCATTGATTCTATTTCCTTTAGAACAAAATTCACTTACTGGATGTTCCTAGCAGGGTCCCAATACTTAAGAGTTGAAGAGTGTTAATCACCATCTGTAATTCCCAGCATCACTGCAGCTGAACACACTGTCCAGGAAGGGCTAGACAGAGCACATTAAGATGCTGAAATCCAACCTGTCTCAGAGAAGCCGGGATGAATGACCTTTCTGCTCAGATTCTTTCAGGGATTGATCTTTACAGAGAAAACTGCAAAACACTGACACGAGCTAAATCTATTATTGTTGAGCCAAATTGGTTGGTTAGTTATTCATTCTCAAGGTTTCAGCCTCTTGCTTGCTCTTTTAGATTTAAGCAAAATAATCTCTTGTTTTGGACCCAGCAAACAGTGTGCACAATGTGAGAGATTAAAAAAAATAATGCTCAAGTTCAACTCTGAGCCACTGCCCAACCCGGTTACGACATGAGATTCCCAGAGACTCGGCATACCCTTTCATGAAATGGTTTTCATCCCTGATGTGTCCAATCTACTGTTTTATGACAAACATGAAATGAACTAGTAGATACAAAGGAAGGATGTGGACTATAAGGTGCTCCCACTAAAATCATCTCGATCACATCATCTTATGGCACAATTTGCCTGCACACATGGCCCCTAACTTGAGGTCTGCTCTAACTGAGACCCACGCCAGATTAACAAGGCATGTCTGTGTGTGTTTTTTAAAGGCTTAGGTCTGAGGGACCCCAGATGATGTATGAAGGAGAAGAGATGCAGTACTCAGTTTCAATTCAATGAGAACCATCACCTAAATACTTTGTCACATGATATCATCCCCTTAGAATACTAGACAGCCATTTGTCACTAAGTCTCTAACCATAGAGGGATTTGTTACCTATCATCATGAATCTACATAGAATGCATGTGGAAACTTGTGAACATGTGTGTGCATACTGCCTGAAGTGAGGTGTAGGGGAAAGAGAAATTGGAGGGGGCAAATAGGGAGAAAAATGAGACAGCACAACACAGTAAGAAAAAAGAAAGATTTTGCTGTTGTTGTCAGAGTACATAGATGAGGAAAACAGAAAGAAAGAAACACAAGATAAAGCATAACACAGGTTGAGTCTATTGGACACACTTCCATCTTCCAGACACAGCTCAGTATTCACTGGCACTGGCACAGAGAGGTGGAAACTTTGACCCTGTGGGCCCCACACAAGCCCTGTCTGAACTGTGATGGACAGAGTCTACGCAGTCTACATAATTGCAGACTTTTGACTCTACCATGCCAGAAACAGTAAAAACAATGAGCAAAATCAGCCTGTAAAGGAAGTCTGCCATCCTGGTACCCAGGACTCCCCCAGGCACTTACTAGTGAAAGCTTGATGTATCATGTAGTCTTTTGGATTAAGTTTTTCATCTGAGAAATGGGGAAAGATCTTATTCATCTTGATTAAGGATTTTGGTGTGTGTGTGTGTGTGTGTGTGTGTGTGTGTGTGTGTGTGTGTAGTGGCATGAGGGATTAAGTACCAGAAACACAATAGCTTTGCAATAAATATAGACTGCTTTCCCTCTGAAAAGGCCCAGGACTCTAAAGGGACCCAGTGCAGCCCTTGCCGTATTTGGGAGGTGGCTTTACAGTGAGGCTTTGACCCAAATTCTGAGTGGGTAATAGGCAGACCCACTGGCCAAGCCCACATCTCCATATCAGACATCTACCACACAGTCTTTGACTTAGCAGCTCTTTAATGAGCCCATCGTGTGAAAAATTAATCCGTAGCGGTGGTGTGTTGCTTAGCTCTTTGCTTACATTCTCTTGTGCTGCTCAGCAAGACCCCAGGCATTAACTACATGGATATACTCTGCATTTTGATAAGAAAAAAATACACACAAAACCAACCACCCGGGAAACTCATCCCTTCAAGGAAGTCTCAGACTTCATGTCAGCAAAGCCTTAGTGTGTGGGACCCCACCGTGCTCATGAATTTCAGAGGCTTGTAAAGAAATTATCTGTTTTGCTGGACTCGCACTGGGATCAATCATCCCCTCCGTGGTTGGTGCCAATTAAGAGCTAGTGTGATGTAAAAGGGATATTTTAAACACCGTTTGACATCAGGCAGTTCTCTGTCCTGTCTCCCTCCCTTTACTCTAACTCTCCTATCATGCTTTCCTCGGTCACTTTCTTCTCTAAAGGGGCCTTTATTCTGGAAGTCCGAGGCTGTAATGAAACCAATGTCCTCTGTTCTTTTTCTCCAGAGGAATACTGTTTGCCAAATGATTTCTCATCATCTCACATGCCCCCGAAGCGGAGCTCATCACTGCCTCCATCTCCTGTCTTACTCTGTCATTCCCAGAGCCCCAGTCTATTGGAACACAGCTGCCAAGGCACTTGCTGAAGATCACATTGAATCATGCCATTCCTCTGCTTTGAGTAAATCTGCATCTCTCCTCACTGCCTGCAGCTTAAAGCCCTTCAAGCACTCACTGCTCTCTACCTGCCTCCCAGCCTTGTCTCCTCACACCCTGCCTGTCCCTCTCAGCCCTCCATCCTCTGCATGAATATGTTATGTGACTCTTGCCCTTCCATATTTCCTGTCCCCATCACTCCAGTCACCTGCATGCAGCCTTCAGGGTTCAGATTTATGCTTCCCTCACCTCTTACCTAACCCTCAGGGAGTGGTTAAATGACCCATGCTATGTTGTCATGCACAAGTTCTCACTTCTAGCATAAAACTCATCAGGTAACTGCGTCCTAGCCAGATACATGTTTGCCCAAGCTCCCTACTCCAAATAGCCTGCAATTACCTTGAGGGCAGTTATAGGTTTCATATATGTCTGTACCCTAGTGTCTATACAATATCCCACACCAGGATAAGCCATGAATTCTCAGTTCAACTGTTCTGCTGTTAGTTTTTGTTTTGTTTTGCTGTTTCTTTGTTTGTTTTTTTCAACTCAACTTGACTCAAGCTAGAATTATCTGGGTAAGACAACCTCAATAGAAAAACCATTTTCTCCTATAGGCAAGTCTATGGGCATTCTCCGGATGAACTTGACTTGAGAGGGTCCAGACCACTGTTGTGGGTGGTGCTGGGTTCTATAAGAAAGGAGGAGGAGCAAGCCAGTAAGCAGCACTCCTCCATGGCCTCCGCTTCACTTCCGGCCTTCAGGCTTCTGCTCTGCTCCAGTCCCTTCCTTGGCTCCTCTCAATGATGGACCATGTCTGAGAAGTGCAAGCCAAAGAAACCCGTTCCTCCCCAAGTTGCTTTTGGAAGTGGTCTTTATCACGGCAGTAGAAAGCAAACTAAAACAGCTACTTCCATGGTACTCCGAATCATCTTGCCTCTGATGCATATACTCTGTACCTATCCAACCAGTACCTCTGTCTGAGCAGGGTCTAGAACTGTGTAGACAGAGCTCTACTTATGATGTGAGTGAAAACTAAGAATAATACAGTCTGGGGCTGGCTCACTGGTTAAAAGCATTTGTTGCTCTTAAAGAGGACCCAGGTTTGATTCCTAGCAACCACAGAGTGGCTCTCAATCACCTGTAACTGTAACTATACTTATCAGAATGTGATGCCCTCTCCTGGATTCTGCAGGCACCAAGCACACATGTAGTGCACATACAAACCTACAGGCAAAACACTCATATATAAGATAAAATTAATAAATCTAATAAGAAAATGTACAGAACAGTACATATAGTAAGTAGATGCTGACTAATAGATGATGTATAGATGGATACACTAATAACATCATTTTAGACATGATGGAATAAGCTTGAAGAGTTGTAAAATCAAACCAGATTGTGACAGGGGAAAAAAAACAAAAAACACTTTAGGGCTCTGGGTAGTCAAGCAGACAGTGGGATCTGGCCTTGGTACTAGAGTTACTTGCTTATATGGTCATGATTTGGTGGCTGTAAGCTGCTTCGGGGGGGGGGGGGATCTAGGAATGACCTCGCTTCCTTTGAACTTCTGCAGATTGGCGCCATTCACAAACTTGTTTCCCACTGTCTCGACTGATGTCCATCACCTGAAAGTCTGATGGAGAATGCCATGTGGAGCTTATCACTGCATCAGACTCCAGTCTCCTAGATGTATACTGACCTACAACAACATGAAGTAAACAAAGAGCTCTGACTTGGAGGTGGAAGCCTGCAGTCCATGTCTGGTCATCGAATTAACTACTGCTAAAGTATGGATTTTCTCAAGCCTCTGCTTCCTTGTCCCTATGATCAAAGCAGTAGACTAGGTTGTTCCTACCTCTGGTACATGGTCTAGAGCCTGAAACATGGTCCAGCACTAGATAAGAGACAACCTGCATGGTGCTTAAAGGAAACACAGCCTGAAGCCCAGGAGAAATCACTTGCCTCCACCTTCTTAATTCACCATGAATGTGACCAGAGAGAAGCACGGTCTCTTGTTCTGAGGAAAGACAAGCCAGTATTCAGCTCTGAGCATCCCTAGGGCTTTCCTGGGATGCTTGCCTTCGCATTCAGACACCACTCATGATCACCTGGAGCCGTCTTCCCAGAAGCAGCAAAGTAAGGGCTTACACATCGGAGGAAAAATGCAGAGTAGGCAACATTGAGGAGCAGTAGAGACACAATGGAGGCATGGTAGAGGCCCATTGTTTCCTCTGGGAGGCGCACTCTGTAACAGTGCTGGAGTTATAGGTAAATCTGTTATCTCAACGAACTTTCACAACCTTGTGAAAGAAAAGGGTAAGCATGGCTGTTTAGAAACTAAGAAACGGAGTCAGAGAAATTCTGAATCTTAGAAGGCAATCTGGATGACTATCCAGTACTTACATGGTGAGGGCTGCAAGCCAGGCTCTCTGGCTCCAAATGCTATATGCTTTGGCTACATTTTGTTTCTTCTCCTTGTGTCCTCTGTTGGACCTGACAAAATTCCTACAGGGAAATAAGGGGAAGTGTATGTGTTTCCATATTATAAGGCAACAAGTCAAAGCTCAAGGAGACTTTTCAGTGTCCTGATAACCAGCAGAGACATCTGTGTTCTTTTAACTATGCTGCTACATTTGAAGGAGCGTGTCTTCTATAATTGTGTTTGTGAGACAGCATAGGATAGGTTGTGATCTTTAATATTCTAGCAAGAAGACTGAGCTCCCAAAATGTAACATTGGATGAATTTGTTTAAGAGGAATGTATGGATTTCAATAAGCTTGAGAATGACGTTTCCAGCTACTGGATTTGCCCTCCATGGAAATGAACTGCTGACCCAAGGACTGTAAGTAAAGGGGACTGGCTCAGATATGCACCCATATCCATTAAGCTCCTTCCTAGGTACCCACAGTACATGCCTTGTCCCATAGCCAGGAAGTCAGGGTCTGAACCCAAGTATTCCATCTCCTGCTTCGTATGGTGTACTTTCATCTCAGTCCTTCAAACTTGGCTGCCTAGTTCTCTACAAATTTTAGAGTCCAGATATCCTAGGTCCCAGTATAGCTGTCATTGAGCATTAGACAGGACAAGAAGCTCTCTCGTGGCTATAATAAGTAAATCTCTGATGAAATGACAAATCAACAAATAACAACTGGTTGACATAGAGTAATAAACTTCTTAGGCATCATGAAATGACAGAAGCCCCTAACTTAGAATATAGATAAGGATTCTCATCTATCCAATTCTTTCAGGAATCAAAATGAACAAAGACACATCTCTCCCATGGCATTGCCTATCCTTCCATTTGACATTATTTCGAATACAGCAATCCTGAGACTCTGAAACTAGTTATATTTGTTACTTGCAATATTAAAGATAGAAGCTTCTAGAAGTAGTCACCTTATCCTAGGCTAAGCAGGTGATGAAGGCTCAGTGAAATCTGGCTAATACTACCATCCTTTTGAAGTTGAAAAGCAGGAGGTAGCTGTCTTAGTTTCGGTTTCTATTGTTGTGAAGTGACACCGTGACCATGGCAACTCTTATGAAGAAAACATTTAATTGTGTTGGCTCACTTACAGTTTCAGAGGTTCAGTCCATTGTTAGCATGATGAGGAGTATGACAGGGAGCATGGAAGCATGCAGACAGACATGATGTTGGCTACATCTTGGTCAGAAGGCAACAGGAAGTCAACTGAGATACTGGGTGGTATCCTAAACATAGGAAACCTTAAAGCCAACCTCCACAGTGAACACTTCCTCCAACAAGACTGTACCCACTCCAACAAAGCCACACTTTCTATTATTGCCACTCCCTATGAGATTATAGAGGCCAATTCCATTCAAACTACCATTGTAGCCTAGATATATTGAAATCATACCCCACCCCCAAGCCTTTTAAAGTCTACATGATGATGTGTGATGGATTGAATAGAATGGCCCCATAGGCTTATATATCTTAATGCTTGGTCACCAAGAAGTGGAACTCTTTGGAAGGATTAGGAATTATGGCTTTGTTGGAGGAAATATGTCACTCAGAATGGGCTTTTTGGTTTCAAAAGCCCATGCCAGGCTCAGTCTTTCTGTCTCTCTCTCTCTCTCTCTCTCTCTCTCTCTCTCTCTCTCTCTCTCTCCCCCCCCATCTTTGTCAGCAGATCAGGATGTAGCTTTCAGCTACTTCTCCAGAGTCATGCATGCCACCATGACATAAAGGATTAAACTTCTGAAGCTGTAAGCAAGCTCCCAGTTAAATGCTTTCTTTTATGAGAGGTGCCTTGGTCATGGTGTCTCTTCACAGCAATAGAATGATTAAGACAGTCTACCTCTGAGCTCGATCCCTCAGCCTCAGATGAATACCAATATTTATATTGGTAGGGAAAGCATTTCTCCCTGCCATAGTCCATCTGTAACAGCTCTACCTTCCATTTCCCTACTGAAGTACCTGCCATTTCCTGACTGACAATCAATTTCCCTACCTGTCATTATCAATTCTGCTCATTAAGTCTCCCACCTGTCTCAGCCGAGGCCTCCTGATGCTGAAAAGCATCTCTGAAAACTTATTTTCTTAGGCAGAATAATTGAACCTTCTTGCACATCTAGAGAGCTGTTCATCTGAAGCATTCAAAGCCATTTCTAAATGTCAGTGAAAGCATACATTTCATAGCAGGGAGGAGACGATGCTGTTCTAGTACAACCAAGGGGAAAGTGAAGAACAATGGCCCGTCACGGTGCAGCCTGCAGACAGGACATGCTGAAGAAAACACTGGGCAACTGACAGGTGCTTCATTTTGTTTCCTTTTTTAAATCTGGAAAGCAGAGAATGCAACGTCAATTTGGACCCTTTTGGTTTTTGATTGAATCACTTCCGGCCCTTCCAGACATGACCCCGGATGTGGTTAATGCAAGATAGATGCTGCAGAAATGAAAACATAGAAAGACAACTTGTGCCTTTTATGAAGTGCTGAGGTACTGGGGTCAAGGTTATGATGACAAAATCCTATAGGTAGACAGCTCTTCCCCTGACCAGGGTCTTCACACATAGCATCTGATGCTGCTCTTGTGGCCTGCATTGGACCACCCTTCTTTCAGATAGCTTGTCTCACCTCCTCCAGGTCCTTGTTCATCTTTCCTAGGGGCCATAAGGAAGATTATTAATGTCAGTCACCCCACTTCTCCATGATACAAGTTCCTCCCTTTAGAAATAAAAATGGACTCCCTTCTATTATGCATTGCTCTTACAAGATGGTGATCTGCCTGGGAACCTGAATCTTCTCTATTTTCTTTGCTCTGTTCCTGAGACCTACCACTGTGTCTGGGATGTAGCAGTTGCTCAGTTAAAATCTATTGAGTGATTAAAGGACTAAATATTAGTAGCCTTGCTCAAATTTGCTACAGCCCTCTTCCTGTTTTGTAGATGAAGTGATTGAGGCTTAAGGAAACTAAAAGACCTGGCCCAGTGACTGACAGAAGCAATCCTGGAGTGCCCCATGCTGTTTTACTCTGCCCTCCAGGGACCAGGCTCAGAAATGACAAGAAGTGCTCATTCTCCTCAGGGAGATGAGCTCTAAGAGCCAGTGCTCACACCCCTGATTTAGGCCTCCCTTGGCACCCTGCCTCACCTTCCCTCTAGGGAGACACGTTCCCAGGCACCCAGTATATTTGTTGACAGCCCACTGGTCTAATCAGTCCATTAAGACAGAGTAAACAAAGAAAGGGAAGGAAGAAATAATTGCCAAGTCAACAAACCTGAATAGTTAGAGGGACTAAGGTCAACACTGTAATTATACAGCTCCAGGAAGAAAAGCCTGAGAGCTACAACTTTCCACTTCATTCTCTCTTTCAAAGGGAATTCCCCTTTTCCCAGCAGGGCTGCAGCACAGCTCATAGGCCTGGCAGCTTCTCAGTCGTCAACTCGGTCCTCCCTCAACTACTGACAGAGGTGTGTCTCCTTGTCTCCTTGCTAAGTCGCATCCACACATTTGGCACTCTCAGCCCCTCTCCCCAACCATGTCAAGCTCCTCAGCTGTTTTCAGAGCTAAACCTGACTGTTTTCCTTCCACAAACACAATCCTAAGTGTTGAGGTGATTGGTAACCACACAATTGTGTCTTTCCAGATGAAAAGGACATTAGTAGGAGAAAGCAATCTAAAGCCCAACAATGTTGGATGGAAGGAATGGACAGCATCATACAGCAACAGCAGTGTGTTCTGTGTGGTGTTTTCAAGTGTATTAGGGGAGGACTGAAGCTTCCCTGTGTCCCTGGGAAGGACTGAAGTGTTACGATAAATCTTTCTGCCAAAAACCGCCTGAGCCCCACCTCCACGTGTTAGCTTTACGCCAGCTGCCAGCCAGTTAGGCCCAAATGAATACACAGAAACTTGTATTAGGTTCAAAGCTGCTTGGCCAATGACTAGGACTTCTCATCTGTTAGCTCAGTCTTAACTATCATAAACCTATATATTTTATAAGAGTTATCTTATCAGACGCCTTGTTGGCGTCCCTCCTTGCCGGTGGCTCACATTGTGCCGCTGGAGCAGGAGCAGAGGGGAAAAAGGGGCCCTTCCTGTTTCTCCTTCGCTTAAATATGAGTCTCCTTGCTATGTCACTTCCTGCCTGGATCAGCACTTCTCTACTACATTTCCCAGAATTCTCTTTGACTCCTAGTCCCGTCTACTTGCTGTCTCATTGGCCAAACAGTATTTTATTTAACAATCAATAAGATAAACATGCACAGTAAATTCCCCATCACTGAAGAGCACTTGACTCTTTGACACTCAGAAGACTAGACTAAGAGGCTTGTCCAATGACTTTCCTAAGTTCATACCCACACCCGGCAAAAAAAAAGAAAAAGTGGAAAAGCAACACTGAAATATAAGTTTTGCACTCTACATGAAATGATTTATACCACCAACATGGAGGGAGAGAGGGAAAGAGAGTGAGAGAGAGGGAAGGAGCTAGGGAGAGAGAGAGAAAGAGAGACAGAGCTGTTCTCAAACTGGCTGTGCTGAGGGTAAGTTTATTTCACAGATATTTCACTTGCCCTTAGAGTTCAGACTTAAGAGTCAGCCAAGTGAGGTTCCAGTAGAACTAGATTGCTCTGTACCTCAGTGTCCCTGTCTGTTTCAGAAGGGTCGTGGACACAGGGCAGTTATCACAGGGCAGCATACATAGAATGCTCAATAAACATTAGCAATTCTTAGTGTGTTGTCACCAAGCCAAATCTTTGACAAGTGTGGGGCATCTATCTGACTTATCTCCAATACACTCTTTTGTGAAAGCTGAGCCAGTTGTTCTCTGGGCTCGAAGAAGTAATGGCTCTAGTGATGAAGCAGGAAAAATGGGCAAGTTCTGCCAGTCCCCAGATAGTCGCTATGAGCTGCAAGTGTACTGGCTCTGTCTACACTTCTGCTAGGGAATGCTGCCATCATCCTTATTCTTGCATGGATAGTTCCATCATGTACTAAACGTGTCCCTGCAAATCTTCTGTTGGAACCTGGTCCCTTAGGTGATGATGTTCAGAGGAAAGGCCTTTGCAATTGGCCAGGTCAGGAGGGTTGTGCATAGCATTGGCACCCTTATGAAAAGAACCGGGAAAAATTTATCTGCTCA